AAATAAATTTTATGTGTGAAAATAATTTTTCTTACATAATTGTCAAAAACCTAAGAAGATGGATAAAAATTATTGAACTTTTCATGAGAAAGAAGTTTTAAGCTAGGTTTGTTTAAAGGTATCATAAATTAAAATCAAATATGTTCGTAAAAATCAAATTTCAAGACCATGCTACTTTACGAATATAATATAAATTTGTAAAAATATGAAATTCTGATGTTTTCTCTCTTATAAACTTTATTGTTTCAAAAATAAAGTTATCATAAAATAATAATGTTTGAGAATTTTATTTTATTTTTTACAAGAGTGTATCTATTTTTGTAGTTAAGAAAAAAGTTGTAATGCTGTAAAAGTACCATTATACTTAATTAGTTAATTTAATTCAATATGTTTTCTTAGTAGATGTGAATTTTGACTTATCAGTATCTTAATTATGTTATTTTAGATTTTTTTATTCTTGTGAATTAAATTCTATAGAATAGTATATTTTAATTTAATTTAAATAATATTTTCCTATATTTACAAATTTTTTACTTATCATTTTCATGATTATTTTAGTCATTGATAAAATTTTGTTTCTATCATTTAATTATATCTGTAATGTAATTGATTATATTTCTATTCTGGTTTATTCACATCCATCTTGAAATTATTTTGTTTAGAGGTAAAAAAATAATAAAAAAAACAAAATTAATCAATGTGACGATGTGGTTTTTCTTCTTTTAGGGTTTGCATCTTTTTAAAAAATTTCTATTTAACACTAGAATTTAAATATAATAATAATAATAATAATAATTTTTTAATTAAATTATTTTAAAAATAAAATTAAAAATTGATAAAAAGTAAAAAACTAATTAATTTTTTATTATTTAGATTAAATTTTTAAAAATTGATTTGATTTTCGGTTTGATAATCAAAATTATAATATATATTAATAAAATTTAAATATAAAATGATATTTATTTTAAATTAAATAATTTTTTTATAATTTAAAATATATTTTATTATTTTTTAAATTAAATGTGGAAGTATATAAAAATAAATTAAAACATTATATATCATAATTAAATATACATAATATTTTTATAATGTTTTTTAATAATGATTTTATTATAACATATTTAACAAATTTATAATAAAAAACATCTATAAAAATCATTGATTTTGTATGATTTGGATTTTAAATAAATAAATAAAAAGTCAAACGGATGTGTAGATTAATTTTCTTTTTGCTACCAATCGAACTAAATCACGTTCTAAACCCTTTTAATGAATAAGATAAAGATTTTTTTTTTCATGATTCTTCAATTTTCATTATCAAATAAAAAATACTAAAAAAAATAATTTAAATTCAAGTAGAAAATCAACATTATTTTGGAACACATTGATTAATTTTTTTCCATTTTAACAAAATAATTTGAAAATTAATACACGCTTTGGGTTTTTTCAACTGTTAATATGCTCATTTAACAGATAATTAATTCATCACTTAAAAGAGGTTAACAAATAATAAGATTAAAAAAGTAAAAGTTTTGTGAGATCAAAATAAATAAATTAAAAAATTTTGAGGGTACAAATTTAATGAAAAAAAAAATGTACACATAAAAATAAAATATATGTAATTTGATGATAATGGTGTAATTGAAGCCATGTTAAGAATGTTTGGTTCTCACTTGCAGAGTCATTCAACCCTTGTGTTTGATACACTTGCTGATTGAGATTCCAAGCTTCTTGATTAAATTTTACTTTTCTTCATTTGAACTTAGTGATAGCTTCACCACATGCACACACAGAGGAGATTCGATTGGAAGAAAGATCATTATCAATGGGATGATAATAATTACAAATTTAATGTTAATCCAAAACCAACATCTGCAAGCAAAGTCCGTGAAGGTCTCAATGACCAATGGAAGATAATGGTAAGTGGAAGTGTCATGTTTTCATGATAGTGATGTTGAAACAAAAGCCTAGCACTTACATTGGTGGAGATTTAACCAAAAATTGGATCACAAGTCACACTTTTTCATTCGTGATGCTAACTAACAGCACAGCACCCATCAGAAAAAGAAAAGAAAAGCCAAAAATCTAAGCTTTGAATTTAATTGTAACATGTTATTACCCGTGACATCATAAGTTCAATAGTTTATGCATTAATGCTTGTTACCATAAGAAGGAAAAAAACATGAGTCAGTTGTAAATATCTTTCCAAATGATTGATACTGTTTGGTCAGTTCATGATTTGAATACTCCAAAGAAATGAAATGAAATCCACACCGTACCAAAGAAGGAAAATTTTAGTTGATATTTCATTTGTCATTCTAAGGCAGTAAGTAAAAGAAAATGCTGTAGGTGCACCCTTCTAGTCAAAGGGACTAATGGGAAATCAGGGGATTGTGAAATGTGAACCTCAAAAATGACCATTCATATGTCACCCATTAGGTCCAACATGGATGGCCCAAAGTGTCCATAGATCTTAATTCCAATCCATGTGTCTTCTATACCCGTTTCGAATCAACTATATTCACTGGTCCTTGGTATATTTTTAAGACAAATATTAGCAATTAATTATTTAATATATTAATTTAAATTAACTATTTATTATTCACTGAAGTTAATTGCAATTTATTTTTTAAGTGATAGTGAAAAGTGATTAAAAAGTGTGTCGTTACTTGCTAGTACTTCTCTAACTTTGTTATCTATTCCCGACAAAGAGGTCTTTTCTAGTCAATTCGATTTAGTTTCAAGGGAAAATAAAACAGCATACCAATCAAATTATTCCGAGTTTGGTGATTTGGTTCGAGTTGACAATTTGTTTCATTCAACAACTGGGGTTAGTTCAATGGGTGTGTATTTTTTTTAATAATATTTATAATCTCAAAAATAAAGGATGGTTGATTAAAAGTTTGCTTGAAAACTATTAAAACTCCATTAAATAATTTCCACTTTCATTCGACTGATCATGTTGTGAAACTAAAATACAATATTCAAATCAGTAAAGGATAAAGTGTTATTTATTACTTTAGTTCAAGCCAAATGATCATATAAAAAAAATCGAACCAACTTACTAGTTTAATCCCAATAATAAGTTTATTAAATCCAATCAAACCAGTGAATTATACTCATTAATCACTTATTCCATGGCTTTGACACTGTAAAAAAAAAAAAAGACTCCTAACCTTTTGTGACTGGAGGCTAACCTCATTTACCATGAGCACCTCCCAAAAGATGATAAGATTCCAAGATTATTTTTCCATTATGTTTTGTTTTTTGTGCTCTTTTCTTCACTTAACATGTGCCTGGTATCAATGTGGAATCTTGATTATAATCAATATCCAGCTAAGTTGCAACTCACACCAAAGAATTTTGGTCACGTTTTCGCTGTCATTAATAATGGAGTCACACATTGCGAGAACCCAAAGCCTTTGCGAGAACCCCACATACATCATAAGTCAATTGTTCACATCCACCAGGATAGTTGTGTATCTAAAAAAATTTTGGGACAAAACAATGAAGAAAAGTATATTATTGAAGTTTTCGCAGTTGCACGGTTGTCTAGGTAATGCACTAACATCGGCGAGCTCAAGTACTGGCACTAACATAACATACAATGAATCCGGAAATTATCGCAGTTGCAGGTTTGTTCAAATGCAAGATAACACAAGTATCTTTTCTTCTCTCTATATTTTTTTGTTAATGTGCGTCATTTCAAGAGACAAATCTATTTTTCTAATCTCTTTATTGTGTAGTAAATAGCATGTGAATAATAATTTGTTAGAGTTGCAATCTTGATGTCGTCCATGTGGGTGTTGTCCCATGAAAATCATGATAGTGCTTACTACCTTTTTTGCTAATATAAATGAAAATTGCCTTTTAATTAGTCATAGCACTATTGAAGTCTCATATAAAAACGCACTCGTTAAGCCTCAATTGCGGCGTTAATCAATGACAAATGCAACAATCACACCATGAAACCACAATAAAGAACCATTTCAGGAATGATAAAGTACTTCAATTAGCACCAGACTTGGGTATGATAGTGATGTCACAAGGTATGATATCCAACTACTAGTCAAAGAAAATAAAACAAAAGTAAAAAATTGGGACTTTTACTAATTTAGGTCTCAACAATTACTAGGAACAGAAAACTAATTGGGTACATAAGCCACAATCTAAAACAAGGGTAATGTTAAATATCCTCTAAACCCTCATACAAATCACCCTAGTACTATGAGGAAAATATAATTGAAAAAGCAAATATATCATGAAAACTTCAAAAACATTCAATATTTCATTTGTAGGGTTGAGAATCAGGAAGATTTTGTAGGATAATTTAAAATTTTTCAACAAATGAAAGGAAAGAACAACCTGCTATAATATGCGAAAGTTGATCATATTTGCCTCCGGAATCCAGATATTTTTTGCATTGATTGAATTTTCAGCAATATGCATATAGGAGTACAGGTCAATGACATTGACATATCAAATGTCATAAATCACCCATATTCTCAAATTATGCAATGAACAACGCCATCCTATGCAGGGAATTGAAACTTAAAAAAGAAGAGCCTTTTTGACTTATGATCCCCCCAACAATTATAAATTTCATACATAGTAAAACCAATTTAAAATTTAAAAGTACTGAAGAATTAGAACAATAAAATTGACTTTGGAGGAAATGAAGAAGAGAAAACAGAATACAATTAAATTGACTTCGGAGAAAAAAAAAAAAAAAAGAGATTACAGAATCCAATTATCCATTTCTATATCTATACAAGGGGTAAAATGAAATCCAGTAACAAATACCATTGATTTAAAGAAATGATTTCTTTTTCAATTGCAATTGTTACATGACAAGGAATTTGAAACATAAATCTTCTATATTGTCTGGGGTAAAGAAGTGAGGGGAGAAAAGAAGTTTGAAAAAGAAACATGTAGAAGTTTAAAAGGAACACAATAAAGTTACAGAAGAGAATAGAATTTCAATCTATCGTATAGGGCAATTACCACCACTGATGAACAAGTACTCCACGTTGTCTGAGGGAACTGAAGAGCTGCAAGCATTGATTGTATGTTTTTTCATACTTTGAACTCCTCTGCCCAGGACAACATCTCTGCCATCTATTGTAATGGCATTCAAGGAAAATCTCATCTATCAAACATATAGCCCCAGTTTTAAACAGCCTCGGAATCAGATCAAACTCAGTACCCTCAACATCCATTTTCATCACAACAAAATCGTTCTTTGTAACAGTCTTCTTCAACCATTCAGCAAAATCGAATCCTTGAATCTTTTCCACTTCGCCATCAAACTCCTCCTTCGCCAAAGACTGCAAAGGCCGAATCCTACCCATCCCCCTGCCTTTAACCTCAACATGCTCCCCAGGATCACGATGAATCTCAAACGTCAAGGTTTCGTTCTTCACCCATGCAGCGTATGGAACCAAAGTGATTCCCTTCTTCAACCCATACTCCTGATGAAAAGTCTTATCAGCTTCAATTGCATACACGTGAAAGGTCTTGTTCTGCTTTGGATACTGCTTCCTAAACCACGACCCTATGCTAGAGCCATAGCTTCTAGCTCCAACATCAACATACAAATACCTATTTTTAAAGCTTATATCAACCATTGTAGGAAGGTACTTTATGTTCCTCACATTCCTTTTCAAAGTAATCCAAGGCTTCAAAGGCTCCTCCGAAATCAAAGGCTCAGCAATCTTAACCAAATCATGCTTATAACCAGGAACATAACACTTTCCATTTGAATCACCCAAATCAAATTTACCAGCACCATCACCACACTCTTTTTTCAAAACAATTTCCCGTATATACGGCATCGAAGAATCAAAGCCTTCCAAGCCATGCAATTTCACTACTCTGAAACAATTAAACAAATCAAGGAACGAATTGAAACTATATGTATCTTTAGGGTTTGCAAAATGGAACACCGCGAACCCTCCCGATTTTAGCGTCCGGCCGATCTCCGTCGCGAACTCCGCCGGCTTCGCCGACTGCAAGAACGAATCCTCGCCGGAGAACACGAAATCGAAAGTTCCATTGCCGAACGGTATCCGCTCACCTCGGCCGAACTTCACAAGCGGCTTGACCCCCTTCCGCGCGATTCCAACGGCATCCTTCACGCCGATCTCCCTCAGAGCGAAGACGTCGCGTCCGGTCGGCGTCTCCACGCACAGCGACTTCGACTTCGGCGAGAGGTAACCACCGGCAATTAGGTCCTGGAACGCGGACGAGTAGAACCGAACGCCATTGATCCAGTCCTTGCTGGTGTAAAACTCGGGCTGCAGCGAGCCAGCGCCGGAGACAGACTCGACGGCGAGAGGACCTGTGCCAGCGATGACGAGGCTGAGAGCCTCAGGCAGAGAGAAAAAACAGAAGTCGCCAATGTTGCAGGACTCGCCGGCGACGGCGATGAGGTAAGCGAAACGGACACCGATGACCAAAACGCCGAAGAGGAGAAACCGTATGAGAAAGGTCCGGAGAGAACCAGGCTTGCCTGCGGAAGGTTCCATGGTAAACTGTGCACTTCGCTTTTTCCTTTTTTTCTCACAGAATAATCAATGAAAAAATTGGAGAAATTAAAAAAAAAAACGAAAATGAATTGAAGTTGGATTGTGGCTTTTCCCTTTAGCGATAGCAGAATCGAGCCGAAGTGTGGTTGGCGCCGATTAGGAGTTTAGGTTGGGTGGCAGAGATTGGGAAATAGAGACAGGAACGAGTGGCAAAACGGGAAATCATAATTCGCGAATGAATATGCGGTGGTTCAATTTTCTTTGCTGTGAGGGAGTGTTTGCTAAAGAGAAGCGAAGAGCGAGTTTATGAGTCGGAGAGCGTGACTCGGTGACGGTGGTTTTGCAGAGAAAACGGAAACGCGTATGGGCAAGTGACGCGGATTGTGTTGCGCGGATAAAGGAAGAGTGAGGCGTTGGTCTAGTGTTCTCTTTTTCGCAAACGGCTCCGAGAGTGTTTTAAATTACAATAGTGCCACTGCCACGTCAACCTTCTTCTTTTTTTTCGTTATTTAGAAAAAGGTTTAGGGGAGTTAGTATGGGGAACTAGGGGTAAGACTTTATGAAGATAAGATGTGGAGGCTAGGGATGACAATTAAACCCGTATTCGTGGGGACCGACTCGTTCCCGCCTCGAGTTGACGTGAAACCTCGAGTTGATCGGGGTGGGGTCGGGTTTGGGTTTCACGCTTTAAAAGTCGGCGAGGGCGGGGATGAATGTAATCCCACCCCGACCCCGCCCCATCCCCGCTCCGATTTTATATTTAAATTTAAATTTTAAAATATTAATATTTTAAAAGTATTTCATTTTCTTTTTCTATTACATATAAGGTTATTTTTTTATATTTCACCAATTTTTATTTTTCTTCTACCCACTTTTTAATTTTTTTTATCTTTCTCAATCTTTTATATCAATTAATTTATTATATTATTCTCTCCCTTATCTTTCAGTTTTTCACATTTTCTTAGTCTCTCCCATCAATTTGTTTTTTTTTCAATCTTTTCAACCAATTTGATGAACACAAAGTTAATCTTTTTTCTTTATCTTTTTCTAAATATTTTACATCAATCTTAGTAGTAACTAATATTAGTTTATTTATAATTTATATTTATTATGCCATATTTTTTTATCTTATTATGCTTATTTATCATATATCAAATTTTATCTTAATAAAATAATTGCATTCTTATAAACTATATATTGACAACTTAAAAATGAATTAACTTATATGTATAATTAAATATTTGAATACAAGTATTATAATAATAATGTTATAAATATTCAAATATTTGAATGCAGTGTTATAATAATAATAATAATAATGTTATAAATATTATATATATATATATAAATAAAAAATAATTAAATATTTCTTTTACATATATATTTTAATATGAATATAATAAATTAAAATGTATATTTAATTAATAATAACTATAAATTATAAATATTTATTTATATATAAAAATACATAGTAAAATTAATTTATTATAAATATAATTATCTTTTTAAAAATAATATAAATTGGGACGTGGGCGAAGGCGGGAACCTGAAACCTAGCGAGACGAGGATGCGGACTTAATTCCTAACCCATGGATCGGAGCGGGACGGGATGGTTAAAAAGTCGGGCGGGACGGGGAGGCAAAACCCGCCCGCCCCGCCCCGTTGCCATGCTTAGTGGATGCTAAATTAATTTTTATTATCAAATTATTTATAAATATATAATTCTACGTTGGCGCTAAATTTATTTTTAATAATAAATTGGAAATGAATAAATTTATATGAAAATGTTGTGAAATGACTTGTTTAAGTGTAATAATGGATATGATAAAATATTTGCGCTAGCTTTGGGATTATGATTGCGATAATAGGCCAATGTCACATAATTCTAGAGAGAAGAAAGAAACCCAAGGGTGATTGTGAGCATGGGGAAAGGGGAAAGGATATGTAATGTGTTGTTGGCGTTTAGTCACCTCCACGCAGGCGACGCATAACTATTTCCTATTTTCTCTGTCATGTGTTTATGTGCTGTTTTGTTTCTATTCCTTCCAACCCCATCTTTATGCTCATCAAGACCTATAAAGTGTTTTATTTAAATGAATTGAAATTATTGTTCGCATTTTCAATTTACGTGTGTTGCTCATCAAATTATTTTTATATTATATTTAAAATCAATTGTTGGATGAATAGTTATAAATACTTACTGATAAAATAAATTATGAATAGAGAATTTAGATTATTATTATAAATAGTTTTTCCTTTCAATCTTCCCTTAAGAAAAATCTTACACAATTTAGAGAGCCAGAATAACTCTCTTTACTTTCACAATTAAACACTAGTAGTATGTATTTTTTTAGTTTAGATATACATTTTACATATTATTTTATCAAAAAAATATCTCTTAATAATACATTACAATGTTTTATCTATCTATGATTCTTACATGTAATAATATATATATATATATATATATATATATATATATTACAATTTAAATGATTATTATAAATTAAAAAATGTTTATTTCTAAAAAAAAGTATATTTACTGTGTGAATTTGGGAAAACTCAAAAACTGTCGACTACCTTTTGACATTCACAGTTCACGTGACTGACTGAGTGAGAGGGCATTGTTGGCATCATAAACAAATTAATAAGAACCAATCAACATTGAACAAAGAAAGCCGTTACAGAAAGTGTAATGACTAAATTACCCTGCTTCTGCGATGAACCGGCACGTCGTTTAAGGCCTACGTTGGAGTGGAGTGGTTGTGCGAAACGTTGGACAGAAGAATGGCAGATGAAGAGAGCGACTGCACATCCTTCACGTAGGTTTCAATCGTTTTGGGCGTTGGAAGTTGGTTGGTGTACCTTCTCGATACAAATTCCAATGCATTTGGATTAGGTCAGTTTAGAGATTCACAGTTTCATAGCTATGTTTCGTAAACAAAAAGAAAAGTTATTTGATAAACAGTGTTGATATATGCTACACATCAACACGTTAAATTTAAGTGCTAACCGCATATACCCTTGTGTACTTGGTATTTTTCTTTGTGTATAAACAAGGTTCCAACTCAAGTCTTTATTTTCCCATTGTTAGGTCAACTCTAATGATACAACTCTACTTGAATTAAATTATATGTACCATTATTCATCTACAAAAGGAGTTTGTGTGTATTAGTTGATTAAAAAAGAACCACACAGAATAGCCATGTCCTTCGGAATTTGGGAAGATAACATTGTGGACGGTGTATCATAATTGTGTTCGGTAGCTTTTCAATTAAAAGGCCTCACATGGCATGAATGAAATGGCTTTGTCTCTCTTACCCTCACTATGACTCTATGTGAACACCCAGCTGGATTCCCTTCTCACATATCCAAGTGATGGATAACTCTAACCATCTACATTTCTTCCTAGTTTCGAGATATTTCATCTGAGTTTTTTTTTTTTTCTCTTTTGTCAAAAATATTGATGGGTCTGCCTTAAAAAAGCTGGTCAGTGAGGGCTAGACAAATAAACATGTATTAGACCAAAGCATTCATTCATGAGATGTTCTAAACCAAGTACTTTGTGAAGGAAACGAAAAGACAAAGTATCTTTTTTGTTTTCTTATAATGTCATCATTCTCAAAGAATAGCCGAAGGAAATTTAATATGCAAAGGAGGTCATGTGGCAAAAATATCCATCTCTTCACACAAGATAATGTTTTCCATATTGAGTAGTGTGGACACCTTCACTTTGGGAATAAAAGAAAAGGAAGAACCAAAAAGAAAAAGGTTGAAGTGCTGATGCTTCATCACCTTTTGCAAACGAGAAGAGAGCTTGCACTAATTGGCAATTTCGAATACCTATTTTTCTCTCACCGATTTAATTAATTTCATTATTCACATATACTAAATATATATTTTTGGTGGAGGATAAAAATAATTAAGTTATAGAGCTTGAATTAAATGGAATGTTCTTATCAGAAGTCGAACATTAATGACATTATGTAAATATTAATTATTTTCTTATTGTTCAGATGTGAGTAAGTTGAATAGTTGAATCATGTGTTAAATTGAAAAAAATGTCCTTGAGTATGACTGAAACTAGGTAGGAAAAAATTACAAAGCATATAGGATTTGCTTGTTTTTCTTTTTTTATCAAGGGAAAAAAATATTGATTTTATTAAAAGGATAAAAACATTAAAATTTTATTAAAATAGTTTAAGTAATATGATTTTGACTTTGGTCAATATTAAAATCATATTACATAGCACAATTTTAATTATTTAATTTAAAAAATAATTTATTAAAAAAAAGATTTTTTATTTATTTTATAAATATATTATTTATTAAATAATTAATTTTGATTTAATTATTAATTTAATAAAAAAATAAAAATATTTAGAAAAAATGAATACATTTAATGTAATATATTTATATTAAAAAATATAAATTTAGTATCGAAATAGATAGTTTGCACGATTATATCTTTCATTTAGATAAAAGAAATATTTTTTTTGTTTATTTATAATTTCTACGTCTATTTCATTTCGAATCTGATTAGTTATAAGTTTTTCTAATGTGTCTCGACGTATATTAGAATCCGAACAAAGATTTGAATCTGTATAAATAGACCAATAATATTCATTTCGAACCGGATGAAATTGAAATTCATACTTCCTATATGTTTTGTAACTTGTAAACCGGATCGATAAATATAGCCAGTGTTAAATGGCAAGAGAAACAAACAACAATAACATGAGAATAAGAGAGTTGAAGAAATTGAAATTCTCCACCATCACACTACCATTGATTTTATCGAACTATGTAACTTATTGATCTTTAATAATTGTGGAAATTAAATTGATTTTGTACGTCAAACTCAACATTATCTCGATTGACATGACACATTTTAGTATGTTGTTCCTTAATCAATATAATACAAATTATGCATAACTCATGCTATTAAGCACTTTTTTTTAAATCAAACAATTAAAATCATACTACATGACACGTTTTTAGTATTGACAGAGTAAAATTAACATTTTTTGATCCCTTTATAAAAAAAGACGATTTATTTAAATATGTAATCATAATTGATATGACAAGAAAATTATAAGTTTATGGTTCTAATAAATATATAGTATAAGTAGATTTATATAGTCTATTTCTTGAACTTAACGAAATATTGTGTTAAACATGACTATACTAATTTTTTAGGTTTCTATAATGAAAACAAAAAAGCAAAATGTGCAAAATTTTGAATTTTTCCTTTAACTTTTTCATTGAATAGAAATCAATTAAAATTATTTTATTTATTTAATTATTTTATTATATATTAATTATTTTTTATTTGTTATAATATCTTATTGTTTCTAGTGTAAATGATTTGCATTCGGTTAAACAAATTTATTCTTAAAGTACGTGGTGAATAATTTAAATATTAAGTGGGTTCATTTTATATCAATCACTCGATAATTAAAATATAATATATATCAATCAAAAATTAATTACATAAAATTTTGATTTCTATTATGATTTAAAATATTTAAAGTAGAACGTGAGAATAATATGAAAGTAAATTGCAGAAAAGTAAAATGTGCAAAAAAAAAAGTAAATGATAATAAAATAAATCTAACTCTTTACTAATAATAAAATATAAATTAGTAGAAAAAACAATTAAGATGACGATTTAAATTACAAAGAACTCAATTGAAAATGTTTTGTTCAATGTTTGTAACGTTTCTTATAATGCAAGTGTTTATACAATTTCACAATTACCCATTTTACATTTATTTTACCTTATTTATATTTTTTTACATGTAATTGTTGGAACAAAACTACCAAATAAAAATAAATTAAAATGAAAGTAAAATGCAACCAAATAAAATAAATAAAAAATCTAAGAACCATTACTTAATTATAACTATTCTTCCTTTTTAACCCACGTTGTCATCACTTACCATCTAATGTGTGCATATGTCATAATAGGATAATAATTCTCTCTGCATATCTCTCGATTGCATTACTTCTTTTTGATATCCTATCTTTGTCGATTTGCACCATGAACCTCAATGTCTTAAATTCTTCAACTTTTGTTATTGGACTAATCAATTCCTTCGAGTACTTCCTAATTATTTGCAACATATAATTTCAATCCATTCAATCCAACCTATCATGAGTAAGTTTACCTTTTCTTACAATTTTCTTTAATTAATATCGATCCTCAACTTCTTGATGTCTCAAATGATCAATATAATCTTTTAATAATTCCTCCCATTTTTTTATTCATTTGTAATTTTATCATTAACACTTGTATAAGTTATTATATTGTAGGTTATCAAATATTATCTATTAAGTTATCAATTATTATATTTTTCATTATTATTATCTGAATCTTATACAAGGAAATTCAATCAAGAAGTAAATCTTACTTTTTCATTCTCAAATATATTATTATTTTATTCATGCTTTAAGTATCTTTCATGGGTGAACCTTTACTCTTTTCAAAGAAAGTAATTTAATATCCTTAAAATGGAAATAAAATCAAAACTTAAACACGATTTATGGATCTTATTAAATTCTCTTATTGAATAAAAACACTTTTATTTTTAAATTACATATATCATAATTTTAGTACATGGAAAAACTTAATTTTTTTATTCTTTTAAAATTTGTTTTAAAAAGGAATTCTTCCATGACATGTGTTAAACCATTTGATAATGGAACACCAACCAAAAAGAAAGGATCCGTGTAATATTGCAATGTGGACACTTCAAATGTGAAATTTCAATGGAGATTGTTGAGAATATTTAATACGGAACTTACAGAAAAAGCCAGTTTTGAATCACCGCAGCACTATACAATCTGGAAATGCCACGCCCCCATCACCGAAACCGAGCAGCGGCATTTATCCATGAAGACAACGTAAGTTCAATGCCGCTGCAACCTTATTATCATATACAAACTAATTGAATGCCACGCAAGAGCTCCTTGCATGTAATTTAAATATATCATTTATGCAGAGTTAATTTAATTTAATTAACAATTTTATATATTTCATTTTATTAAAAGACATGGATACTTACTAATTGTGACAGTGAACTGAACAAAGAATATATAGTAGATTAAGTTAAATTCAGAATTATAACAAATTATTATATGAAATTTATTATTTTGTTAATAATTAAATTATATATTAACATATTTAGTTTTGAAAATTTAAAAAAACCAAAATATGATAGGAAATTTTTATAAATAGTAAAATTTTACGTCAACAAGATTTATTACAGATCACATGAAGATTAAAAACAGTGTCATTTACATACAATATTCCATAGCCTTCAATATTGCAATTGTTGGCAATATGGAACCTCAATCACACCACCAACTCAATGTCATTTTTCTTCCATTTCCAGCACCTGGCCATATGATTCCCATGGTAGACACAGCGCGGCTATTTGCCAAGCATGGTGTTAGTGTCACCATCGTCACTACCCTTGCTAATGCTTTGACATTCCAAAAGGCCATAGATAGTGACTTCAATCGTGGATACTACATCAGAACGCGAGTAGTAGCATTCCCTGCAGCACAAGTTGGTCTCCCTGATGGGCTTGAAAATGCGAAAGATGGCATTGATCTAGAAATGATTGCTAAACTTAGGCCTGGAATATTAATTGTTAAAGATCAAATTGAGTTTCTGTTTCAAGAACTACAACCAGATTGTCTTGTGACCGATATGTTGTATCCTTGGACAGTAGAGTCTGCTGCGAAACTAGGCATTCCAAGGCTTTACTATTACAGTTCAAGCTACTTCTCCACCTGTGCCACATATTTTATCCGGAAGTACAAGCCTCATGAGAAGTTGGCTTCTAATACTCACAGGTTTACCATTCCTGGTTTGCCTCAAAGTATAGAGATGACCCCTCTGCAGCTAGAACAATGGTTAAGAACTGAGTCTATTCATACTGGCTTTTTCGATGCAGTGTATGAATCACAGAGAAGAAGCTATGGAGCACTGTACAACAATTTTCATGAACTCGAAGGTGATTATGAGCAACTTTATAAGAGCACTGTGGGGATGAAATCCTGGAGTGTAGGACCAGTATCAGCCTGGGTAAATAAGGATGATGAAAGAAAGGCCAATAGAGGGGACAAGGAGGTCTTCGCACTAGATTCGGAATGGCTAAATTGGCTTAACTCTAAGCAAAATTTGTCAGTGCTTTATGTATGTTTTGGAAGCCTCGTCAGGTTCCCTCAGGCTCAACTCGTCGAATTGGCTCATGGGCTTGAAAATTCTGGCCATAGTTTCATCTGGGTCATAAGGAAAAATAATGAAAGTGATGATGGAGAGAGTTTACTTCAAGAGTTTGAGGAGAAGATGAAAGAAATCAATAAGGGTTATATCATATGGAACTGGGCACCACAACTGCTGATATTGGACCACCCTGCCATAGGTGGCATTGTGACTCATTGTGGTTGGAATTCCATTCTTGAAAGTGTGAGTGCTGGATTGCCAATGATCACATGGCCAACATATGCTGAGCAGTTTTACAATGAGAAGTTGGTGGCTGAAGTGTTGAAAATTGGGGTCCCAGTGGGAGCTAAAGAAAACAAATGGGCAGGCATGGAGAAGGGTGCAGCTGTGGGGAGGGAGGAAATTGCAAAGGCTGTGGTAAAGTTGATGGGAAAAGAAGAAAGCAGAGAAATGAGGAGTAGAGCAAGAAAACTTGGTGATGCTGCCAAGAAGAGTATAGAGGAGGGTGGATCCTCTTACCTCAACTTGATGCAGTTGTTAGATGAGCTCAAATCATTGAAGATCACTAGAGCCCTTGAGAAACCAAAGTAGATCATTCAAATATAGTGGACATGGTGCTTTAGGATGTGAAGCTGACGATGGATTTGGATGAAATGGAACAGAATCCAATTATGTTTTTCTTCCACCTAATTATCTAGTTACTTCTGCACCGATTTGACTAGGAAAATTATAGTTTCCATCAAGTCATTTTGCATGTTTTGAGGAGTCAATATTAGGAAAATACATCTTCCGATGAATTAAATATCTTGTATTTTGTTGTGTCAAGAACTAATAAAAAAGTAATAGTCAGAATCCACTAATTTGATACACTTTATCACTCCCTTTAAGATTGGGATACACTAATTTGACTCATTATTCTTGTTATTAGGCCGTCCCAACTGTGAACACATCAATCTTTCATAATTTTTTTTTTTAAAAACAGTCCATAGACAAAGCAAAGCTACCATGACTCGAAAATGAGATTTAAATAGAAGGGTTTCGTTACATAAGAGGTTGGAAAAAAATTTGTTAGATTCTTAAAAAAAATAGTCAGAGAAAGGAGGGTAAGAGAGGGTGTTCTATAAAAAAGAGGGAAGAACAAGAATTTGAGAAGGAAGAAAGGGAAAAGTGGAAAATAGAGAATATAGAATATAGAATCTCAAACCGCAAATCACAAAGTATGTAAACATGCTCCCGTTTACTTATCTGCAGATTTCCGTTGTTTATGAGTGGATAATTTTCAGCTTATTTCCATCCTGGCTATTCTGCTCTCATGCTCGTAGCTTTTATTTGTTGATTGTTGCTCTCTTCATCTCCTTGTCCCTTTTATGGTTGCCTTTTGCCTTTTATCGTCCACTTTCGTTTGGGGAAAATAATTTTTTGAAAACCATTTACAAATGTGATAGAAAATTTTATAATATTATTTTTTTATTGGAGGAGAGAAAATCAAGCAAGATAGATAAATAATAATATAAAAAATAATAATAATAAAAATTTAAAAATATTATTGAATGAATGTTTTTATCTTTTTTGTGTTAAAATATCAACACAATTTTTATATTGATATTTACTTTTATTTTGAGTCTTATGTGACTCCTTACTCACCATTTTTTTTTTATTGTCGATCTCATTTTTTATCAATCTTAATCACACAATGAGTATTTTTGTCACTGCTACAATATCTATTGATTTCTCTCAATCGCATAACCACTATTTTTATCACTGTTGTAGCTTGTAATGGTTCATACTATTAGTGCTTCCCTTTGGTCTTGCGGTCACTACCTTAGGCGTTTCACAAGTTTATTTTGTGATACGTTCATGTTGTATATGGTGGTCACCCTTCCTCTTTCTTGAATGAGGATTAGGGTTAGGTTTTTTAGGTTTATGTTTTCTTGTTTGAGGATTAGGTTTAATTTTTTACTATTGAGGGTTAGGTTTAGTTTTAGTTAATGTAGGTTTAAGATTATAGTTATTTTGTTTTCGGTTTAGGTTTAACTTTAATTTTTGTTCATTATTGAGACTGTTTTCTTACACAACTATTTTTAAAGATGAAGGGATGAATTTACAAGTAAATATGTGATGACAATATGTAATTAGCTAGAACTACACCATTGATTTTGTGTTGCTATGTTAATAAGAAATGTTGGATGTTTATGATTTTAATTAGTAAATTTAATTATTGGATATTGAGACTGATATATGACTTTTTCTTATTGTATGTTGTTGACCCTTAAGAATCAAAAGGAGTATATACTTTGACATAAGTTTTGATATTGATTATTAGATGATTTGCATAATATTATTATGAATTAGTTGTGTGCATGTGTTAGATATATAGTAAATGTCATCATAGTAAATAAATTTTATAGTATGAACTTAAATTAAATAAAGTTACATGTATTTGTAATTTGAAATGGAAATAGAAGGAAGCATACATGACGAATGAGAAGGAGAAGAAGAATCAAAGCTGCATAATACCGAAGGAGAAGAAGATGTTAGGTATCAGATAAAAACATAAGTACATACAACTAAAATAAAAAGATAAGAAAAACACTAATAATAGGCAAAAGAGTAACTTCACTAATGAAAGAAATTATAACATTTCTCTCTCTACCTCCAAGGAGGAAACAGTAACACTCTCCTGAAAATAAAGGAAAAACAACTCTAAAGAGAATCTAAAAGGAGAAACTATTTTTCTCTCTAAATTATCTCTCAAGTACTAAAACAGCAAGAGAAAAAAAATAAAATGTGCTCATTTTATAGTAAAAAGAGTAAGTACCAAACTAAGATTTTCTTGATGTGAGACTTTTCTTCTCACAGAATAATCAAAGTTGTATTGTGAATGACCAAATATGTACGTTCTACTTAAAGCTTATCCAAGAACTTGGTTTAAAAGTTTTGTGGTCAAAACACTATGGATTTCTTATTCAAGGAAAAGAAAAAAAAAGCTCACATAAGTGTTAGTAGATAGTGCTGTAGATTATTATTAATATTTTAACTTTAGTTGTTTTGGCCTGAGAAACATATTAATTACTATTTTATGTTTTGATTTTAAACCTTTATAGTATAACTTTTGTGGTATCTCATGATGTGATATTAGACATTACTCTTTATATTTTAAGTATGAAAAAAATAGAACGATCTCATTCATTGACATGTTTTCTAATTAATACACTATACAACCCATTTTTCTTTATGAAAGGTATGGATGAAAGTGTGATGATAACCTAACCAAATAAAAAAAATGTCATGCTCACTTAACCATGTAAAGTCAACTGGGTAACCATATATGGTAGGTATGAAAATAATATCAAATTGTTCTTTCACATGTCTTATAATAAACACATTATACAAGTTATTTTTCAAAATGAAAGATATGAAGCACAATGTAATGACAAGGTCACTAGATAAATAAAATAAAATATCATTCTTAATTAACCATATAAAGTCAAAGGGGTAACCATATATGGTAAGTACATTTAGTAAGACACTAAAATTAGAAGAATATATAGCTTAATCAAGTGCAATTTTTTTTGCTAGACATTTTATCAAGCATCATACATGGCATAAAAAAACTTAAGTGAGTATAGTATTGGACCAACCTCATGGCCAAACTTTTGAGTGCAGCACCACAAATCAAATGGCCACAAAAACCACAAGTTAGACCACAAAATGCAAGCTACAGAAGGAATGAAGTCAAAGCAATAACAAAAATACCTTACTAGAAATAACATAAGCTATAGATACCAAATGATATATAATAAAGTAAGGTGCAAAATTTTAAGAAGATATGATGCAAAATTTAAGTAATAAAGTAAGCAAAACCAAGGAAAATTCTTACTGAACACTAAGATAGTAACCTATCTAGGTGTGAAGGTGCATTTCTAGAGATTGAGGAGGGAGGAGGAGATGGAAAGAAGCTAGAAAATAGTAAAGACATGGCTGGAAAATGGACCAACCCCTTGGATACATAAATGGTGTGAAAAAATAAAGAAGAAAAGATGAAGAGAAGAGAAGAGAAGTATGGTGGCGGTGGAGTGTTGGCACGCCAATAGGGTGAGCTATCCTAGATAAGTGGTGGTTGTCGCCACTTAACCAAGGTTCAAGATAAGACCCTCTAAGAGATGAGACACTCTAAGAAACCTCACACACTTGTCATAAATGTTAAACTTAATTACATGAAGGGAAACCTTCTATTTATAGGTGTTAAGTGGTAAAAGTTGATGTAATTATGCTTTTAATTGGTATTTAACCACTTAAATTATGTTGATTCTAATATATTTTTCTCTCAATATAGGATGAATTTGTAGAATACCTTGGTACAAGAGAAATGATCATAGTTCTCAAGATAATTGAAGAAAAATTGGAAGAAGGAAGAAGATTTTCAGCCTGATACTCGCTCATGCGAGACGGATGTTCGCTTGAGCGAAAATACGTTAAAACTCTCGAGAATTCAACCGTTCAAGCGAACATTTCTCTCTTGAGAAAAAATTATCATTTTTCGCTTAAGTGAATGTTCCGCTTAAACGAATTACGCATGACCCAAATTTTCCTATAAAAAGATAAGATGTGTTTTGAGAATTAATTTTAGGTTTTGAGAAGAGAGGCGCGACAGCTGCTCCAGTTTTCGTCCAATCTTCAATTGTTCTTCATTTGGATTACTATAATGGTCATCATGAGTGACTAACTTCATTCTCTTAGGATTTGGTGCACTTCCTTTGAACTCTTTTGTATCTTAGTAATATTTTGAGATATTAATCTATGTTCTTGATGTTGTTATTCTTATTCTTTATGTCTTTTAATGCTTTTATCCTTGATGTTCATATATATTGGAAAATATATCTTGAAATCTTTGATTAGGTTAAGAAGATTTGCTACATTGATTGTTAGGAATGGTAATGGATGTTTCAATTGCTTAACACCCTAAACCTAATGCTGAAAAATCTATTAAATGTATGAGGATTCTATGTTTATAAGGTTTTCTTATGAATTTCATGTTTGAGGAATCAATGTGAATGATTTGAGTATGTGACATCTGTAACCCCCTTCCTGATTATATTTATTAATCCTAATTTCTTATCTAAGTTAGTAATATATCAAAGTAATAGAAAATTTTAAGTGAAGTTCTTCATAAAGTCATACTTATTTATTATACAATCCCCTACCTATACTCTGGATTTTTTTTTTGCATCCGACATCTATCTCTTGAATTCTACATTCTTGCATCACACGTCACCAATATCTAGGATTGAAAATATTTATGGGGTTAGACATTTACCTTTACCCACAACAAAAAAAGGATTATGATATGAAACATTCATTCATAATAAGAACATAACTACATATAAATATACAACCATATATAATTTAATTCGAAAATTAATTATAAGAAACAAATAAATCAATCATGGAAACATAATAAAGAATATCATACAAATCATGAATAATCTACAATTTCATCATGCAATATGTTTATGATATGCACATGTGACTCAAAACGTAAAACTTGAAAATCATGTTTTTGACTCAAAATAAAAAGAAAAAACCATTTT